GGTAGAAAGGGTCGATCTTAGCTTCGAACGCTGCTTCCCCCACGGCGCCCATGACGATCAAGTACGAGCCCTTCATCCTGCCGAGCACCTGCAACACACATGTTACAACCATCGGCATCAACAGCACTTCCGGTTAGTGCGGGTGTGCCTGAGTGTGATTTTTTTTCAACGACGTTGCGCGTCCGGCGGAAGGGAGGCAACGACGGTCAACACATCATTTACGCAGCCAGTAAAGTTGATCGTGTACTGGACGATAGGAGCGTCGCGCGTCACTTCAGTTTCTCGCGCTAAATGCCTCAGGCGACGAAACAAATGAATGAACAAAACATCGGCTCGGCGGCACAAACTGCTCTGCAGTGAGACCGGCCTGAATCATGCGATGAGCGCCATCCGCACAACCGTCATCAATCTCAACAAACCAGCGGCACAACACCATCGTTGCCTACGCTCATCGCTCTTGCCCCCCAACCACCACCCTCGTTGCCTATCCGGTCTCTCTCTCTCTCTCTCTCTCTCTCTCTCTCTCTCTCGCCCCCCCCCCCCCCCCCCCCCCCCCCCCCCCCCCCCCCCCCCCCCCCCCCCCCCCCCCCCCCCCCCCCCCCCCCCCCCCCCCCCCCCCCCCCCCCCCNTGTCTCTCTCGCTGTGTCTGTCTCTCTCTCTATCTATGTCGGAATGGAGACAACGGACATGAGTGAGTGTCACGAAAGGTAGCCCGTCGTCTCCCTCCATGCGCATCCCTCCCCTACCCCCTCGCACCCTCTCACCTGGTAACCCTCCTTGGGAGCGCAGGTGATCGGGCACGCCGAAGAGTACTCGAAGCTCTGACCAGGCTCGAGGACGGGCTGCTGCCCCACCACCCCTGGGCCCTTCACCAGCTGAGGTGCCTGGAGGTCACGAAGAAAAAGAAAAAGAACCGGGTTCAAGTCCACGATCGGAAACGGGGGTATGAACGTTTCTTTTTTTCTTTCGTGTCAATGTTGAACGTAGGTGTTGAGCTTACGCCGCTTGCCTTCCAACATTTAACGTGAGGAGGGTTCGGCAGTCCCCGTGTACCGTTCTACAACTCGCTGAGTCTGTGTGGTGTAGCCAAACGAAAGATCTCTTTCTCGAGCAGGAAATGTGAAACAATTGCCCGAGGACTATGTATTCAGAGAGACTGACTTGTCGGGACGCTGTTGTAGATGAGGTTAAAGGATCGAAATTCGAATAGGTACCGGTATGTCACAAGCAGGCATAGCCGGACACTAGCATACCCTCCCCAACGCGTGCACGACCATCCTCAACTCTTGTTCTTACTCCTCGACCCCCTCTTCATATGCCCCGCCCGTACCGTGCTCCGTGGCAGTTTTTTCATTTCTTCATATTAACAACTTCAAATCAGCGCTTACAGCATGAGT